CTTTTTTGGGAGTTGTCTTCGTAAAAAGATTATATTAAAAAAACGGACATCTATCATGTACATATTTACATGGACTAATGTGCTATGGGTACCGAAACTACAAAAGATAACTAATTTTACGTTATTTTTATATTTCATAGATATCTCCAAATATCATATTATTTTCTATGAATCTTGTTGTATTAACACTTACCTACCTGTTAATTTTATTTGACATCTTTCTTGTTTTATTAACTGATATGTTGTAGTGTTTGCTTTTATGATAGTAAACTTTACAGACAAAACTAACTTTGTTCTTGATTGTATTATTGTGATAAAAAAAACTTAGGAGGTAATCTTTACGTAGACAGAATGTTATTGAACTAACAAAGATAAGATTAAATTATTAAAAGAATATTAAAAAGTTATTTACGTATATGTGGAAATCGAACCTGCCCGTTGACCGAACAGTCAGATATCAACATGATGTCAGTGCTCTCACTATCTACCAATAAGTAATCTAATCTAATAAAAGTAAAGTATCATGATGACACATATACTATTTAGGAAACCTTTAGTTTATAAATATTCAAATGGTAAGCACCTGCGTAAAACAACAACATACCACTTTCCTTGTGATTTTCCCACGATCGGTACACGTTTATGGAAACATTGGAAAAGGAATAAATACGACCAGTGAAAGTTTTCTTTTATTGTAATATGAACCTAAACAAATAATTCATATAACACTTAAAGAACAGAACCCTAAAAGACAAATCGTTGTCAGTGTGTCTAACTGTGAAGAGCTATTTTTTTAGGACGCTTGGACACATCAATTTTACATTAATGCCAAAGATCTTATTTACGGCCTCTTTTAATTTTAAAATGTAAATATTATTTATTCAGCTCTAATAAAATTCTCTACAATTTACTGATATTCGCATACTTTGACACTCGCAACTAAATCAAACACAATACACACTTCCCGTTGGCCTAGAATTGTAAAATTTGAAAAAAGCAAGGCCATTTAACAAAAACAAAAGAAATACGGAAACGTTTAGTTCATAGTTATACTACATTATTATTAGAATAAACTTACATTTTTAAAATTTCATTTAAGAAACTGCAAACGTGACAAGGAAATAATAGCTGTATCTATATCATAGTACACCATACATCACGATAGTATTTCTGCTTTAACACTATCCATCATTATATTTCTATTAAATATCAGCTAAACATGTGATATTTGTATTTATTTCCAACACTCTTAATAAATCTTATTCGCCAAACACAATGTTAAAACTATTTTGGGTATTACTTTGTATTACCTGATTTTTGTTCACTTGAGTTAGTAAAATCTTTGTCTTTCTTAAAACATTTTACAGCAGAAGTGAGTACTGATACTCATTCCTTATTTCTTACTGCTTCTAAAAGCTCATATTGATTCCTTATTCTTCTTCAGTTCACAAAACATAACGCATTGTTTTAAAAATGGTAATATTGTATAACAGTTACGTAAACTAAAGACAAAGAGTCTTAATACTAATATAGCTGTGAGTTCAAATTGTTACTAACATCTTTGAGTCTGTTACTCCAATAAATAATTTATTATTATTATTATTAATTGCGTTTAGTAAGCTATGACCTACATCATTACACATACAAAATATGTCAGTGTTTTACTATGGATTAACGCTTTAATTATTTTAATACTTAAATTTTATTATAATTAATTATTTAGTAATCCCCAAGTGCAGTGGAAAGTGCTCTTAGATAATATACTCAAAATCTTGCTTTGAAATACATAAAAAAAACTAACCTGTTGACCTGATTGATTGACACGTAATCATTATTAATTTTGTTTTTCTTTTAAAGGTCGTTGAACGTTTCAGTTTTATTAACATTGTCTATAAATTAAAATGCAGTCCCGACATACTTTGTTCTACAGGGTCGGTTGTGTCATGCGATACTACGCATTTTACATAATTACCTTACAGTTAAGTACAATTGAATGAATACAATATAGCTAATCGTTGACAACCGAAACGCCCCCATTTGCTAAGTACGGATAGTGATTGTTATTAATTCACAATATTATCATAGTTGAGTTTCATCTATAATGATGCTTGTTGAACCTTATAATATGTAGTTAACACTTTTATTTTCTCATAGATATCAAATATTTTAAAACTATCTTACTAAACCTCCTATTCATAGAGAGGCCTATGTCCAGCAGTGGCCTACTAAAGCCTGTCGATAATGATAATGAAGCACACTCGTACTGAGTTTTAACAGTTGATATTTACTATGATTATTATTTTCGAATTTTTAAATACCGAGGTACCCGTTTAGCAAATATGTAAATGGGAAATTCGAAGCCTCGCCTCAAAGACATATTTTTAAAGATTAATTCTAACTCTAGTCTAATCACAACAAATAAAGATAAAAAACAATCATCAGTAATATAAGTTCGCAGAATCTTAATTTTCAAATCCGGTTTATATTTACAAAAAAGAATGTCCTTCAAAATATTTGATTGCTAAAGGACATAGTTTGTCTGAATCTTGTCTCTATAGAACTGCTATTTCTTGTACTACTACTACTACTTATATCACTGCTATATATATACCTACAGTAAAATTCAGTCAGCTTTTAAAGCATAACTGTAAATCCAAATGTTTGGCCCTAAACCAAAAAAAAAGGAAATATTGTTTGGCAAAGACAATACGGTGATAAAACGGTTAAGTTTTATAGTACATATATATATATATATATACATATATTGTATCATAGATTGTGTATATAGTATAGTTCAACGGTTAGTTAAGTGTCAGTTGTGGATTCGGTACCAATTATATCATGCACCGACACCTACACCCGTATTCTTAAACATTAATCCAAAAGTCACTCTACTCAAAATCGATTGAAGGTGCATTAAGTGTTCCAAAACGCCCTCAAGTTCGGTACTTTTAATCAAACTTTGGAGTTTTAGTTTTACATCATATGTCATCAATTCGTGCAAAATCTGTGTGTTTTATTCATTGATAGTGTCAAAGACGATTGATAAAATGTCTAGTTCAAAAGTATTGAAAAGGTAAACAATAAATAATACTTTATTTTCTTTAAATGGCAACCATTACAATGACATTTAAACAACAGTAAAGTCTCCGATTGTGTTTTTATGAGGAGCAAAAAAGTGCAACTGGAGAATGAAGAAACATCTGGCAACCATATTTTGAACGAAATTGGAGATGTCCACAATGCATCCATTAGTCCAGTCAAAGTTAGCTACCATGACTTCCAGAGAAATATTTTTATCTTTCACAAGTTTTATCATCATACATATAAATTACACATTCTTTAAAACTATTTAATAAAGACATTTTTACAATTATATGATAAAATCTTGAATTTCAAGGTAGGTCGTGAGCTTATTTGAGATGACATTTCTCTACTCACCTCTGTAGTGAAATTGTTGATTAAACTTGAGTGGAGTGAATTTTACTAGCCATCACTCAAGTGTGGTTGAGTCGAGTGGAGTGGAATGTCGAGTAGCAGTTTATACTATTTTGTGACGAATACAGGTGCTACTTTGAAAATAATTTTATATTCTACAAAACAAGGTGTCCCAAGTAAAACCTTTTTATGTTGTGGATATTCTAGAACAGAGTTTCTCAAACGATTAGCTCCATTCGTTTGAAAAGTTTCCAGATGAAAGCGAACGCCTAGCCCTAAAGAAGAAAATTCGGTTTTTTTTTTACAAGAGAAGGTGACAACTCCAATGTAATAAAACATACATTTTCCATGTACCTTAGGGATTTGCGTACCTCGCTTTAACAAACCATGCTCTAGAACATAAAATGATTCTTATCCCTTAATTTTAAAAATTGCGGGAACCGTCTATAAAAAAAACCAAGAATGTAGTGGGTTGGCTTGTACAAAGTGTATTCACTACAATGTTACAATACTTGTAATTGCTATTCCTTACGATCAATCCAATCCGATCTATGAATTTCATTCATAAATTCCTACGTTGAATATTATTTGTTTCGGATGTTCATATACCTACTTAGGTTGGTAGTACTAGTCATCAGCCAGTCTATAAATACTCCCATAATATGTTGTCATGTAAAATATGCACACACCGTACCTACTGGCCTTTCGTTTTGTAGCAGAAATTTTCTTATTACTTAACGTCACCAACGAACGCTACTAAAATATAAAACTTGTGTCACTCTAATACCTAGATGCGTAGATAATTATGTAATTCATTTACATTTACAGTTGTATATAAATGCGATCTATAAGAGTACTTTCTTTTAGTAAAGTAGAGTAACAGCGGGAACATTATTTGAAACATTTGTACTCGTACTATATACTAAGAATATTCAGATACACAATTCATTCTATTTCATTCATGTTTGATACAGTATTTTTTAATGAATGCATGTAACCTGAATGAAGATAACGTTTACCTACTTGTGTTTTAAGGAAAAGTGTGTATTTTTCGATTCATAACTATTTAAAGTTTTTACCTTTACCAGCGCCTTTTACGATAGACACATTTGTTATCTCATTTATAAAAAAGTTTCATCATAAATAAAACAATGCGATAGGTATGTATCTTAAAAGGTCCACTCTAAAAATTGGTTGTGGATTTTATAATTCAGTTTATTGTAGCATAAACAATTGCAGTGAATGTCCTTTTATTTAGTTTAGTTTAATATTTTATACTTTTACAACCAATATATATCTTAACATTGGGAATATGAGCCATTAGAAAGGGAAGCGCCACACGAATTGAACTTAAAGTCTTTGTGTCATAAGGTTTATGCTTACAAATTACAACACCGATCACATTTCTCAGTCAATTCAAGATTGTCCAGTTGCAACGATATCGAGGCTAATAAACCTTACTTTCGCTACTTGCTCGCGCGAAATAATTAAAAAAATATATTAACGAATTTTTTAGGGCGACTGCCCATATGTTTTAACTACACAACATAATTAACACTTACCTAGCTTCCCCATCATTTCTTCTAAGGCATGATCCTTGTCCATGATTGTTAATGTGTTGAGCGACCCTGGGATTATATTATGTAGATTCCGTAACGATATTCACTAAAACCATTGGTAGTTCAGCGATGACTAACGCGCGGCGGCGTGTGTTGTGCAGAACGCCAGGCGTGCGTGCCGGCGGACGAGCGAATGGATGGCAACCGTCGCCATCGTACCGCGGCGCCGTCCGCGAGTCGGTTACAGCAATCACACGAAAAAACCTAACCTCTTATCTTTATTGGCCATACCTGTCAGTTGGGTGATAGTCGCCGACGACAACACGTTCTGCCTCGCAACTGTACGCAGCTTTCGCAGGCAGACAAATAATATATTATATTCTTTAAGCTCGAGATATATAACGCTGATAAACTTAAACTATACTTAAACATTACTTTCAGTAAAACATAATAGTAATCAGGTATGTCGTATGCGAATTTATACTTGATAGCTACTCAACGTCTTCCCGCGACCTTCACCACGTCGTCGGATAGACGACCTGGACGACGTTAGATGACCTTTCTAATTGCAAGTACTATTATTTCTGAGCAAAAAGACATAAAGTAAGAAAAGTATAGAACTTATAAAAAGTATAATCAATCACTCATCCTCTTGCAATCCACAGCCTAGAATTTTTAATTCCAAATAGTTTTTTTTCAAATGATGTATCTCTACTGATTTTTTTTCGTATATTTATCCTTACTAAAAATATAATGCTCCGCATACATATGTACTACTAATACTGTACTTGCTACTTAATGCTTTTAATTAGAAAAATTAAATTTAAGGAACACATTGCTATGCCGGCAGGGCTGTGATCCTGTATCACACCGCACTGCGCAGCAAGTTTCATATAACTATATAAACCCATGAAAACTGGCACGTACTCTTTACTGATTTAACTTAAAAAAATAATTAAATTGTTTCTTTTTGCTAATTTAGAAACGAAACATAACTATTTTATTACTTGGAACATTAATGATCTGCGCTCATGATCTAGCTTGTTACCTAGGTCTATACAGATACAATTATAGATACTTTTGAATTGTATACCAATGTTAACTATCTTTCTTTTTTGTCTTTTGTATCATTTACAATTTACTCATAACATTCCTGTTAAATTTTATAAAAGGTATTGGAGTGCCCCTATATAGTATTTCATATGCGGACGGACTTGCACATTATAGAGTTGGAGGCCGTGGGCCGGAGTGAAATACTGCCTTGATCCCTTCAGTACAGCCGCGCCTCTTCGAGGCTAATATGACCTTACCCTCTAAGTGATCCCGCAACTGAACTTCGCTCAATATGTCGATGCCTAGGATTCCGATACTGGCTGAGGCAGTTAGGGAGGTGCTCTCAAACCCAGGTGACGACAAACGGTATCTTTTTTGCGGTGAACGCGCGAACCTCTGTCTTTTTTGGGTTATAAATTATTTTAAAAAATAAGTTGAACCGACTTGAATCAATTCTAACAAAGAGCATTATAAATTTAATACAAATCGCGCCTATATATAACAAGTAATACAATAGCAATGGATACCTTCTAGTCTGTTTGAAGCCGGTGCCAAGCCTGATGCACAATAAGTAATACTGAGGATCTAGATCAACATTATATCAGCTCATCGATGCCGTTTTCGAGAAATATTGAAATTTCCTAAAAGATATTCATTCTTCTGGAAAGTAATCAAGCACTTGAGTTGCATTTTGCAATTGAGTGCCTTAAATCGTGCTTAAAATAATCTTAAAAACTTTAGGCATAAAAGTGCAACAGAAGTGCAAATATCATTTCATTTCATCGTCATTTCATTTCAAAGCAACCAACGCAAGAACCGAATAAAAAACCTATTTGCTTTTGTATTTGGTTAAAATAAATAGTTAATCAAAGTCAAGAATCAAGGTATTATCTCTGTTTTTATCCGTGTACTGACGGATTAAGAATACGGAGTGTCACTACCCCTATTCATCCTGTGGGTGTCGTTAGACCCGACTAAGGGAGCAAACCACGCGGGACAGCAGCACTACAAAGAGAGGGAAAACTTGACACAAACCCTGTACCTCTCCTTTCTAAGGAGAGGTATATGTCCAGCAGTGGACTATAAAAGGCTGTTGATGTGATGTGATTTCTTTTTCAATTGCGAATGTGAATTTATTTATTTGTGTAAAGTAGAATAAATATATGTTAACTGTCAAAATAATCTCACACACACAATAAACCTTAGAGACTTAGACTTAGTTATTGCGGGTATGACTATAAGGGATTTTGGGTGTCACCGAAACTTCGAAGGCAGGTTCGAAGATTCGGCGGTGCATTACCTCCGAACAGCTCTGTACAACCTATTTTAGAAGAATAATGTTATCATTATTCTTCTAAAATGGGGGGAGATATTCAATTTGTTTATTTCAACAATTTTTAGAACACATTAAAATCAATATAAAAGAAAAAACACAAAAGAAGGAAATCTGGAACCCTTGGATCATCGTGAGGTAACGACTTATTTGTTTTTATGACCCTTTGTGCTGCACGGTTTTTTATTACTGCATCTGTCATACATACACCAGTTCCTGAAGATGCTCTAACTTTTAACTTTATATTCATTCAAATGCAAGTTTTTTTTAAAATAATTACTAACTTAATAATTGTTTGAAGAGGGGGCAGAGATGTACTTTAAATTAGGTGCACCGTACACACAAAAGTCATCTACTGCTGCCTTAATGAAAACGTTTTACAAAGAACTATTAGATTTTCTGCAAATAAATGAGTGTTTCATAAAGCCTTGAGAATAAGTCTAATTTTTCGGTTTAGATAAGAGAACGGACAATTTCCTATAATAGCCAATTCGAATTACAGTTATGCGACCGTACGAAGTTCGTGTGACTACGAATTGCGAATACGGAGTGTCACCACCCCTATTCATCCCGCGAGTGTCGTAAGAGTGCCAACTAAGAGAGCAAACTAAACAGGACAACAGCACTGCAAAGGGAAGGAAAACTTAACACAATAGTGGCAGCAATTTCTAACTAGTACGATAACTAGACGCAGATATTTACCTCATTACGCTCGCACAGACAGTCATATTAACATGATTTTCAATAATTATGAGCAATGGCTAGTCCATTATTACATATTTATATCAAATAAAGTATTACAGACATAATAGATATCATTGTTCATATCATTTTCATAGTCTCGCAATACAATATTAACACAACCACTTAACTTGTTGTAAGCGTTGAAAAATATAACAAAAAGAACGATTGTGTGATAATGTAATGTAATTGCGCAATAAACAATGCTACTATTAAAATACATGTAGTTTAATTACATTTTGATAAGATCAAAACCGAATCAAACCGAATGTGGACATGTAGATGTTATACATTTGTAACGAACGTGTGTAACGAAGTTCCTTATCGCACGTTATACGCTGACCGGATGGGAGCAAGGCTGACCGAAAAATGTGTAACAAGACTTTTTGCCGACACTTCTTGCTATAGTACGCCTCGATCCACAGAACATTGAATAAACATTCACTGTTCTGTGCTTAGATATCTTAAACCAAGCAACGGATTTTTATGCGGTTTTAACCAATAAAGAGAGTGATACAAGTGGAAGAATATTTGAGATGATAATAAAGATTTAAAATGCGGGGGCAGTCACCGCTTCGGGTCGTACGTCCGTCGCGAGAGCGCAAGAGCGGAGCGAGGCTATAAATATTGCATATAAAGGTGTCCTGTAGTATAGGAATATCATAATAATAGTATAATTAATTATTCGACACTGACACCTCATTAGAAGTATCTACATTGCACCCATGCGAAGCCGGAGCATCGCTAGTATTATAAATACGAATATTTAATAAAAGAGAGAGCTCGTGATGATGACGATGATGATAGTGATGATCTAGCACTGGTATTAAATATTAGCATTATTTGTGCTTGGTTCAATCATCTGAAATTTATAATCACCGATGTCATTGTGTGACATAAACAGTACAAAGTCACTTTATTGTTTGATAGGGTTTTGCAGCAAAACGAATTCGGGTTAATCAGCCATGGATCATGAAGGCTAATAACAAATAAGATTGCTAAAATAAGAAACGCTTTTTAACTATTTATATTTTCATATACGTATTTCATTTACCGAGGATTTGTTTGTGATAATACAAATGCATTGTTTTAAAAATATTTATACTAGATAAATAATAACAAATCAGGCAATCATTGAATGTCTTCTCAAACATAATGTGAAAGTAACTTAGATCTACAACTCAGTAGTCATATCAGTAGCTTTTAGAGTTTTGAAAATATAAATACAACAATCTATGAAGCTTATATATTAGACAAGTGTGACGTATGAAGTGGTTGAAATTATGTCTGTGTATGTATATTTCTGCCAAATTAATTTCAACAATGAAATAAACGCCAACAATAAAATAAAGTATCTATAACGAAGATTGGCTGTGTTTTTAGAATTGGTACGGTGTATGAAGATGTCACCTCAGATGTTGTCGGCAAGATTGGCTCCTGGCAGTGGCTAATCACATTTGTGTCGGCGGCCCTCATGGTCTCCACGATGTTCAATCAGTACGAAGACATGTTTCTTCTTCGTGCATCGAACATAAATTGCATATCACCAAGCGAGTTTGAAGCAGTCAATTCCAGTTTGTGTGTACACAATATAACGATTGGCGGCAACGCGTCAGAAGTCACAAAATGTAACAAATGGAATTTAAAACTACTGTGGGTTATTTGGTTGAGAAAGACGGTAATTTAAATAATTGCTTTAACTTATACATGTACCATATTATTGCCAGTAGCTTCACGTTACGTATTATGTTAAGTTTATGCAAAGAAAAGACAAAATTACGTTAGGTACGCACATTTTTCTGCTGTCTGCCTGGTTACCGAAACCGGTCTTTAGCGTATCTGATCCATAAAATTATAAAAAATAAATGAGAAGCGTAAAAATTGATGTTTAAATTTTATGAACAACAAAAATTCTTAAG